ACTGTAAACTTATTCATTTCTCCGAATACTGATTGACTTTCCTTCATAATTTGTTTAATGCTCTCTTAACAGCTCGCATGAGATTCAGTCGTTAATTTGATTTAAAACCCAACCGCTAATTTTAAATATATTCTATTATTTAGCTAATTTAATCAATTAGGTCTTGTGAACTAGAAGGAGATATATTGAAAAATGGGGGCATTCTATCATTTAATTTATCTAATTCATGTTTAGAAATTTAAAGTATACTAAGCAGAGATAGCATGAAATAAACACTGGTTCTTCAAATTCAGCATCGAATTTCATTTTAATGGACAACCCTGGAGCCATTGTGGGTCTCATAATTGGATTTACCTTCGTCGTTCTTGCTGTTGTAACGACCACTTACGTAGTTGTTCGTAGAAGGCGCCGATTGGCTGATAGAATGTGGGGTTCATCTGGAGAGGACATAAATAGAACTCTGAATTTTGGGAAAAGACAACTGCTAGATGAACCTCATTCCTTCAGTTCATGCTACAATAGTGAATCTCCTAACAACAATTTTCGTCATCTACCAAGTCCAAATAAATCAGTTGACAGAGTTGAATTTGTTTCGCAAACTCCTAACCATGCTATCAAAGGACTTGGAAAATTGCAGTTTTCCGTCACTTACGACAGCGCTCTCGAAGAACTGCGAGTCTCAATTCTCCGATGTGTGAATTTGCCAAATCTGGATCCTACTCTAAATACAATGGACTCCTATGTGAAATTAGAACTTCTTCCTGAGAAAAGGCATCGAGTCAAAACACGAGTAGTGAGAGGATCGAGCAATCCATTCTTTGGAGAAGCTTTCACGATGAGCAAGGTCCCTCTTAGTCTACTAAAGACTGGCTCACTGCATTTCAAAATTTTGACATTTGATCGACATTCTAGGGACTCAATAATTGGTGAAGTCGTCTGTCCTCTTAGTGACCTTGACCTTAATCTCTCAAAGGAGGTAACAACCACTAGAGAAATCCTCAAACGAAAATTCAGCGTAAGATTGTTTAAATGTATAACCATTTGAGGTAAATTCTCCAATGACTAGATATTCAATTATAAAACATTTACAGGCATCTGATAAGAATCGTGGACTGCTTCTAATCAGTCTCTGCTATTTACCAGCGGCTTCTCGACTAACTGCAGTTGTTCTTAAAGCCGAGGGACTGCCGACAGTTGATCTTGCCGAATCGCCAGGTAATTAGAGAAAAAACTGTCATTTAATTCTAAGATGCCGATATTTACAGAGCTGTTATTAAAAGTTCAAAGTGCGACCAAATATGCCTTATCGGTTAATGCACAGCATTCATTTTGAGTTAACATTTCGTAAACATTATTTACTGACCTGCTATTAATTTTGTTTTTTTTCTAGCAAGTACATTTCGCATTAAAACCGTTGGCGAAATTTCAGAAAACTATTAAATTTGCTTCATTTATACGAAAGGACAAACCCAAATTTGTGATTTTTCAGATTAGCTTATCTAGTGTAAATTAAGATTAGGATTATCACGAAAACGCTCACTTTATTAAGCATCAGGTAAAATTCCCTCAGATTCCTGTAACACATCCTTATTGTAGCTTTAGGTTATAAATAATCACTATCACCGCCAGGTTAGGGGAATTTCTGCAAAATACCACTCGTTGAATGGCAAAGTCCTTCCAGCTTCCAATTTTAAATGAAGTCTTTGAATTGCGCGATAATATACACTCAGGCATTCTCAGTTACAATTAATAATAATTGCGGTTCCTGTTCCTGGGAACAGGAACAAAATGAAATTTGAAGTTTGATGAAGTAGTTAATACAAATAAATAAAAATATGGAAAGTAGCAATGACTTATCAACTTCTCAAAAGGAGTATGGTCTTCTTCTAAGCTTCTCAAATAATTAAATCCTTTAATTTACAGGTAATTAGGGCACAATGAACATCTTTTATACTTAAATAATCAGAAAAGCCACTTTAATTTACTTAATCTCTCTTACAGCCGAATTTCTGGAACGTTTGCTAAGTCACTTTACACTGTAGCGGATTGCTACGCTAGTAAAGCCTGACTGACTCAGAAATCTCTATGGCAGATCCTCCTACATCTAGCTAGACTCCCAGAACCAGCTAAGCTATAGCCCAGCTATAAAGGA